TACATTGCTCGCACTATTCGCGCGTTGACGCACGTAGCGTTTCACCAAATCCTCTTGACGGACCATGTTGGGCCCCTACCCTGACGGGCAGCCGCGTCTTGGCGGACCATGTTGGGCCCTTACTTTGACGGGCCCCGTGGGGTCATCCTATAACATCGGCCGATTGCAGCCCCCCAGGCACACTCAATGCTTGATCTTCGACCGCGACACATCGTCGACCAGCCTGGCTCTGACGCCGCCGCCCAGCTTCGCCTGATCGGTTCCAGATCGCGGCGAAAAGGATGACGGAGTTTAGATCGACGTCGCCGACTCTGGGCAGATCGCGCGCGCGCCCCGCTGCGACGACCTGCGCTGCGACGGAAATCAGTTCCCCAGCGCGCTCGTCTTCGCGCGAAGACGTTAGCATTGCCACGTTGGCCGCCGCTACCGATGTCATAAGGTCGACGACCGGCGTAGCCCTGTCGCTCCTTACAGGCGCACCCGACTCAGGCAGAGGCAGCGGTCCCGCCATGGGCGCGCCCCCACGGACAAATTCAATGCGCGCCAGATCATCGAACCTTGCTCTGCGTGCGAGCCGCTCCAGCAGCGATCCTCTCGCGCCCTTGGCGACGCCGCGCGCCTCTGGGCTGGCCGATTGCATCTAGCGCGCAGTCGCGCCGCTGGACGCCGGATCTTCGGCGTCGAACTCGATCTGGCGCAAGGTGGCCTCGTGGTCTGCGTTGGCCTGCTTGGCCGTCCGCGCGGCGGCCCAGCTCGAAGCCTCCGGCGCCTTGACGGGCGGGCGACGCTCTTTTTCTGAAGAGCCACAGACTCGCCGACAGCCTGCGCGGCGAGATCCAGCATGTTTATATGTTCGCCGCGGATTGAGTTGGCACCTGCGCGCGACGCGCCTGCGCGCGGTCGCCCGCAGCGCCGCGTCTTGCTGCGCGGACGTCCCGGCCTGGTTGAGCCGATTGACAATATTGCCCGCGCGACTGCGCAGTGCCCCCGCCGCCCCCGCGCGGGGGGGCGACGGCTGCCGCGGGGCCCCGCTCCTTTTCTGAGCCCCTGGCGGCCGCGGAGGCGCTGGCAGCGGCCTCGCAGCGCGGGGAAAGCAGCGACAACGCCGAGGGATGCGGAGCGCGCGCGCGCGCCCTGGCGCCGCCGCCGAGGGCGCGCCGACTTCCTATTCGCCGCGCTCTGAGACGCGCGCCGAAAAACGCAATTGGGCGCAGCAGGGGCCATTGCAGGAGCGCGCGCGGGCGCCGCGCTCCTCGCGGGCGGCGCGGGGCTCCGGGGCAAGCCCCCCCCCCCCCCCCCAGCGTTTCGGAGCAAAGCGCCAGCGCGTCGCAGACGCGAGGGCGCAGATGTCACGCAGCGGGGCGCGCGCCGGATATGACGGGCCGCGGCCTGCTAGGGGGCGTCGAGGGCAGGTCGGAAACGACGCCGCCAGAATAATGCTTTGCCGAGGTTCATGCCCAAGCCTGGCCGAGGCACACGATAACGCAAAGCGCGCGCGGAGAGGCCAAATTGGCGCGCGCGCCGCGCCTGCTGCCGGATCGGGCAGCCGCGCGCTCAGCTGCTGCGCCCGATCTTGACGGGGCGAGGCGACGTCCGGGCTACCCCGGGCGCGCCCGCATCCAGCGCGGGGCGCTTGAAGTTGTCCCGTGACCGGGGCTGGCTCCAGCTGGGGCAACCTTCCACGCCGCGCTCTGCCTGTCCCGACTGCCCCAGCTGCGCCTGGCGCGCTGACCCCTGTGGTCGCGCTTCTGCTTTCCGCTGCCGCCAGAGCCTTTTGCTCCGCCGTCGGGTTTTTCGTCGCGGTCGCGCGCGTCCTCGGCCTGCGCTGCGCAAGGGCTTCGCCAACTACCCGCGCGCTGCGCGCGCGATCATGCCCTGCCTTGCACAAGACCCGCGAATTGAATTTCATGGCCGCCTTCTCCGCATTGGAATTGCGCGCTCGCCCGCCCTCGCCCGCGCCGCCCGCGTGGGCCGCGCGAGCTCGCGAAATGGATTCGGTCGCGAAAGCTGGCGCGCGCGCGCGCGACCCCGAGGACCCGGTCATGATGCGCTGCCAGGTGGGCGCGGCGCCTGCGCGCGGAGGCGTTCATGGCCATTCGCAAGCAGTTCTCGCGATGCGCCCGCGACGCCCCCGAGCTGAGCTTGCCGGTCGCGGCCGCCGCCAGCGCGCGCCTGGCTATTCGAAAAGCAAGATGCAGCTAGCTCCGCGGAGTTGCGATTTCACGCGACCGTCGCACCTGTTCCATGTTGCCTGCCACTGCGACAGGTTCAGCAACGTCTTGCGCTCGCCCCCCCGGCCATCGGCCTTGCGGGCCTTGGCCAGATCAGGAAGATCCCGCCGTCAAGGCGGCGCTGCGCGGGCTCGCCCGCGAGACCGGCGCGCCTTGGAGAGGTTTTTCGTTATGTCTTCACCCTGCGCGACTTTTTTGAGGGCCGCGAACGCGGGAAGCCATTTCTTCTCATCGGCCAGGGCGAACGGCGATGCGACGCCGAGCTTCTTGGGCTTGGCCGCCTCTGCAGCCGGCTCGCCCAAGCGATGCGAACTGCGCGCGACGCGATGCCAGGGCCGCGCCGCGCGCGCGAGCGCGCGCGGGTACCTGGGCCAAAAGTCCGCAGGCAACCCCTGCATGCTGATTGTCGACGCCAAGTTGGCGAATTCGAAATGCGTCGCCTGCGCGCCGCAGGATATGTTCGCGCGCGCTGCGCTCTCGTCCGCATCGCAGATTCGGGCTTCTTTTTCGAAAGCAGTGCTTTAAGTGCCGCACCTGGGTCCGCGATCCCGAGCCTCGCCGCGTTTCTCGGCCGCGGCGGCGCCCTTCGCCCGAGGTTGTTTTCGCCCGCTGGGAAGGCGAAGTCTTCGGCGCAGGCAGCAGCGAGCTCGCGCCGACTCCGCGCGCCCGATGCGCACTAGGCTTCGGCGATCTCGGCACGCTAGGCTGGAGACTACGACCCTCGGCGCCCTTGAATTTGCCGAGTGGGCTGGCCAACGATTGCTTCGAAGCCTGATCCGCCATCTCAAAGCAACCAGATACCGCAATCGCGCGAACGCCTTCGCAGAGCGCGATTCTGCAAGCTCCGCGCGCATGCGCGCAGCCTATCGGAAAGCGCCGCGCGCGCCAGAACAAAAGACGCCGGGCATTTCGACCGCGCACTGGACAGCTGCGCGCACGGGGCCATCCGAACACCCTGAGGCCACGCACGGGCTGCTCTAACACATACTGGCAACTCATGGGCCGCCTGACTCAGACCACATCTGGGTCAGCTGGCAATGTCGAGCCACGCAGCGCTGCTGCGTCGATGGCGGGCCAGTCGTGGGTCGCCGATCTAAGACCAGCTGGCACTGACGAGCTGCTCATGGGCTGTTCCGACACCTTTTGGCTGCATGTGGGCCGCTGAGTTTGGGCCACACCCGGGTCAGGTGACAATGGCGAGCCCCTCATGGGCTGTCGTGTCGATGATGGGCCACTCATGTGCCGCCGAGCTAAGACCGCAGTTGGGCCAGCCGGCCGGCGCTGGCGAGCCGCTCGTGTGCTGGTCCGACACAGATTGGCCATTCACAGGCCACCGAGCTTAGGCCACACCTGGGTCTGCTGGCAGTGGCAGGCCGCTCTTGGGCTGCTGCGTCGATGATGGGCCATTCATGGGCCGCCGAGCTAAGACCGCACCTGGTCCAGCTGGCACCGACGAGCAGCTCATGGCTAGTTTTGGCGGAGACTGGCTGCCTTGACGAACCGCAGCACGCGGCCACGCATGGGCAGAGTGCACGCCACGGGCCACGCGGGGTCCCGAGCCAGAGAAACGAACACCAAGCGCACACAGCCGCGCGTGGCGGACCAGACGGTAGCGGAGACACGGCTTTCCCCGCCGGCACGTCTGCCAGGCCAAGAGGCCAGTGGCCGCACATTGGCGGACATTTGACGAGAGAGCGCGGGAGGCCAGAAGCGGCAGACGCCCGAGCAAAACAGCACCAGCACCCCGCCCCCATCTGACGGCCCAACGCCCCGACCCCCCCCCCGCCCCAAGGACGAGGTGAAGGCAGAGAAGCAGGGCAGACGCAAAAATAGTATTCGTACCATCGCACAAACGTTACGACAGTGCGAGCACTGCTCCCGCCTATTTATGCTCATGTAAAACGTTTACTTTTCAACGCAAATGGGTCTCTAAGAGACTGGCCTGCGCGCCGTAACAGGGGCCAGCCCTGTCAGCAATATGCGCCGTCTGTGCACAAACTTGCCCACCGCGTGTAGATTAGAGTCGCCACGTTTTCTTGTTTCCTTCCCTTTTTCATCATCCCTCCTTCTCCCGGTTTGTTTAGCTTCCGATGTTTCGATGGGTTGCCAATTCTGCAGTTCATTGTGTCCACGCGTTCCTCTGCGTGCACGGCTGTGTTGTTGTTGCCTTTGTCTTTGAAGTTGGCGCACGTTTTGGGACAAGTGCGCGGCGCTAAAGCGAGAGTCCCGTGTTGAAAAGAAACCGCCCTCTATTTTGTAGGCGGTACATTATTTAAGACGTGTGTGCGCGGTGCCCAGGCGAGGGCCCCATTTCAGCACGGCCTGCGCTCTATCTGTGCAAGTGTTGCAAGTGTGTAGTGCGAGCGTGCGCGGCGCTAATATGGTGAGAGCTCCAGTTTGGCAAACAAGCGACATGTGTTCCATCCTCCTAACAGTTGCGACTTCAAGTGTCATGGTCACAAATGGTGAAGACGTCTCTGGCGCAGTGCCCTGCCCGCCCTACCGACACGTCTGGGGGATGCTGCAGGGAGGAGTTATCCATGCGGAAAAGAAACCTATGCGGCCATGCTTTTTGAAACGGCCCGCGGTTTTCTTTTGTTTAAAACAGGCCGTCGACTCGGAACCCAGCAGGACAGCCCTCAAAGAGACTTCAGGGGAGGGGATGGAGGAGGACGACGAAGAGGAGCAGGAGGGGGCAAGCCCGGGCCCTCGCCTGGGGTCTCTCACTTCCTTCTTTTGCTCGCTTTTCCTCCTCCTTCCTGGGCCCAGGCTCCCCGCGGCCATGGAGCTCACTGCCGGCATGGACGCCGACGGCAGCAGCACAAAGTGCGGCGTGTACGCCCGGAGCTCGGGCTCCTGATCGCCTCCCTCCCTGCTCCCCCTCCCTCGTTCCTACCCCTCCCTCGCTCCTGTCTACCATCCCTGCATCTGCTTATACGGCTCGGAATCAGCGATTAAATTCCCACCGAGCTGCATTGGACGCGCATCCACGCAAGGGGAAAAGAGCAAGGCGAGGAAGACAGAGGCTTCGGCAGGTCCAAACGGACGAGTGGGGCCTAGTTCGCTACATGATGCTGGTCATGCACGTACTGATTCCACCCGTCGTCGACAATTGGGCGAGGTTCTTAGCGAGGTCAACAAGCCCTCCTGGCATCTGTGGTAGCCAACGACTGCCAGTTTCAAAGAAACCCACAACAGGTGGCACGCCGTGGTTTGGCGGCTGCGGTCCTACAGGACCCATCCGCGTTGAGCTCCTCCAGGGTCCAAGGCCGTATGACAGGATGCCAGGCACATTCACGATCATGAGATGAATGACGCTCAGCGATGGTCAGCCCAGGAAGTTGGTGGAATTGATGTACGTGGGACGACACAAAACTGGTCAAGCCTAACGAAACTTGACGTTTCGCGTATCCCCTCGAGCGGCACACGCTCAGCGGCTTCTGGGGTCCGCGTGGTGGCGCCAGGGCTTCAGCTGGTTTCTTCTCAGTTGCCTTTTTTGCTGGCACATGTCCAGCGTTGTTAATTTTCTGCTGCTGGCACACGCTCAGCGGCTTTTGGTGGTCGCGTGGTGGCGCCTGGGCTTCAGCTGGCGCCTTCGCGGTTGCCTCCTCGGCCGGCACTTGTCCTGCGCCGTTAATTATTTGCTTTCCCGTGCGCTGTGCCCCAGCCTCGTTCACACCGCCCTCTGGATTTTTCCTTGCGGACCGCGAATCAAAAAGTATCCCCTCGAGCACATTCAGAAACGATCGCCAGGCGAGTTACCTGATCAGGGCAGCCTAGGAGCAGCTAGTGGAACAGAGGGAAGTCAGCTGTCCAGCCCAAGCTCTGAAGCAGCCTGAGCAATACCCATGGGTGGAATTGCTGAGCCTGCCGTCGGAGAGAAGATGGAAGTTTGTGGATGCGAAGGTAAATTGGTAAGAATGGGAGGCGGAAAGAAGAGGAGATGGAGGATGAGGAGTAAGAGCAGGATTCTGAGTTCTAGTAGGAGGAAAACGGCGATGGCGGGACGAACCATGAAGACCTTCGAGGATCGTTCGCTCCAAGAGTTTCTTGAAGGCTTGTTGGAGACCTCTCGGGACCATCTTCGAGCTCTATTTGGGTCGGCCTGGGAGCCCTCAAGGCGCTCGTGGGGCTCTCCTGGAGCCCCCCTGGAGGCAATGGAGGACCGTTTGCAGCCATGTTGGAGGACACCGATTATCAAACAAAAATCATCAAGAGCATGCCCTCGCAATGCTCCTGCGTCTCCTCATCGCCTCCACGTTTCATGGCCTGACTCGTGGGTTCGCGGTGCCTGGCGAGCCGGCCCGCTTCTACGAGGCGGTGGAAGTAAGGCGGCAAACCTCTCTGGCGAGGTTCCGCTGTAAGGACCCCTGCCCCTATGACACCTTCTGCGGGCCTGTATGGTGCATTCCGGCTGCAGGTGGGGGGGCGCGGGGGGGGTCTTCGCCGTTGTCCTTGATAGCATTTTGCCTTGGGCTCCGCTGGGTGGCCGCTTGCGCTCGTTGCTGGTGGTTCTCGTCGCCACTCGTGGTTCGCCAGTGCTCCTCGTCGCCGCACTGTGGGTCGCTCGCGCTCCTCGTCGCCACTGGGGCGGCGTTACACCCCCCGCGTCGGACGCCGAGAACTCGCCTCTTTGGGCCCTCCAGGGGTGATATTCGAGCCATCTTGAGGACTGGACAGATCAGCGGATCCCTAAAGGCGATATGGCAAATACCATTGATGCTCATTATTTGTTGGAAGGACATTCTGCTCTCAGGGACGTCCTTGGGAGCCTCTGTGGCCACTTGGAGCTGTGCGGGCTTGAGACCTCATGGATGCAGCGAGCGAACGATAGAAACAGAGAGAGAGAGAGATCCTCTTGATGGGGCTTCAGCACACCAGAACAGAACAGAGACAGAGGTGAGAGAGAGAGAGACAGGGACAGAGACGACCGTCGGGACAACCCGCAGTCACCGTCTTGGCCGGGTCGGGTCCACTTATTTGGGCCTGATTTGGCCTCTGCTACCACCCCCTGTATCAAAAAGTGGTGATCGGCACTATGCGAGGGAACAGCCCCTGGATCTTTGCCAATCCAACCGATTAAACCTCGAGCTTCGACGTTCGATCGATCCCAAGATGACTCCCAGACAGGCTCGTGACCCGAACGGAGGAATGGCGCCGCAGGGGTGGACAAGACGCGCGGTTGTTAGGACAGTCCAATCGAAATCACCATTCTCTGGCGGCGTGCAAAACGGTCGGAAAATACCTTGTGAGGAATTCAGGCGATATCGCCACTCCAGCGGCATGAAGATCGATCATAATTTGTCCAAACCATCCTATGATGTTGGGTCCTTGTTCTGAAGAGACGGTCCCCGCGTTCTCCTCCTCCTTCCTCCCTCCTCCTCCCCCTCCTCCCTCTTCCTTGCGTTTCACCCACCCAGTACAGCGCTTCGTGGTCCCATAGGGAGCTCTACCGAAGGCCCCAGTGGTACCGCCCGTACGCGTCCCGAAAACCCATGTCGGCACACCCCTCAGACGTTCGTGGCCCCATCGGGAGCTCCGCCGAAGGCCCCAGTTGGACCGCCCGCGCGCGTCCCGAAAACCTATTTCGGAACACGGGTCAGGGAGTTGTGGGGTCGGGGAGTCGGGCAGTCGGCCAGATCGCCGGAGACACCATGAGAGGGAGGGAAACAGAGAAATCCTTCGAACAAAAATCAAGCAGACCATATGAGCCCCCGATGGTGCCTCCCAGGGGCTTCCTATTCGCAACGATCTCCAGCTTCAGTTCGGAGATCGTGGCTTGTTGGGGTCTCCTGTAGCCTCTGATAGCTGCTTGGCGGGATTCTGCATGCCCTTCGAGCCTGAGACCCCGAGAGAGAGAGAGAGAAGGCTCCAAAGAAAGCATCAAGACGACCACCAGAGGCCCCGGCAGAGCCTCTCAGGGGGCCCCGATCCGCCACGATCTCCAGCCTCAGTTGGAAGATCGTGGCCTCTTGGAACTCCCATGGAGCCCATGGGAACTCCCGGGCAAGATTCGGACAGCTTTGTGCAGCTTCCCTTGAGGTTTCGAGAAAGAGAGACAGAGAGGGAGAGGAAGACAAACAAGAGGAATATATAGAGAAAGGGAGAGCTCCTGAGAAGCTCGCAAGACAACAAAAAACGGCTACACTTCCTAGAGGTTTCCTATCCACCACGATCTCAAGCCTCAGTAAGGAGATCGCAGCTTCTTGGAGCGCTCCTGGAGCCCCTGGTAGCTCCTGGGGTGGATTCGAACAGCTTGTCAGTCTTCCCTGGACGCACCGAGAGAGAAAGAGAGAGAGAGAGAGCTCACGAGAAAGCTCCACGCAGGCCTCAGGAGGCGCCGGCACGGCCTCCCAGCTGGTTCTAGTTTTCCACGATCCAGGTTCAATTAGGGGATCGTGGCTTCTTGGGGTCTCCTGGAGCCTCTGGGAGCTGCCGGGCGGGATTCTGCAAGCCTTTCGGGCCGCTCTGGAGACTCCGAGAGAGAGAGAGAGAGAGAGATGTGGTCCCCGAGAAGGCTCCAAGACGACCACAGGGAGCCCTGGCAGAGCTTCTCAGGAAGCCCCGATCCGCCACGATCTCCAGCCTCAGTTGGGAGATCGTGGCCTCTTGGAGCTTTCCTGGACCCGATGAGAGCTCCCGGGCAGGATTCGGACAGCTTTATCGGGCCTCCCTGTAGGTTCCGAACGAGAGAGAGAGAGGGAGAGATAGAGAGAGAGAGAGAGAAAGAGAGAGATGGAGATACAAAAAACAGAGAGAGACAGAAAGAGAGAGAGAGATAGAGAGCTCCCCAGAAATCATACAAGGAGGCCATATGAGGTGCCGGCAGGCCCTCCCAAGAGCTTCGTATCCGCCACGACCTCCAGCCTCAGTTAGGAGATCGCAGCTTCTTGGAGCGCTCCTGTAGCCTCTGGGAGTTCCCGGGCGGGATTCTGCAAGGCTTTCGGGCCGCTCTGGAGACTCCGAGAGAGAGCGAGAGGTGTTCCCCGAGAAGTCTCCAAGACGACCACAGGAAGCCCTGGCAGAGCTTCTCAGGAGGCCCCGATCCGCCACGATCTCCAGCCTCAGTTGGGAGATCGTGGCCTCTTGGGGCTTTCCTGGCGCCGATGAGAGCTCCCGGGCAGGATTCGGACAGCTTTATCGGGCCTCCCTGTAGGTTCGGAACGAGAGAGAAAGAGAGAGAGAGAGAGAGAGAAAGGAAAAGAGAGAGAGAAAGAGAAAGAGAGACAGAGAGGGATGTTAGAAAAGGAAAAGAGAGAGAGAGAGAGAGAGACACAGAGAACTCCCGAGGAAGCATACAAGAAGGCCACAGGAGGGTCCAGCAGGGCCTCCCCAGGACTTCCTGTCCGTCACGATCTCCCGCCAAAATTAGGTGATCGTGGATTCTTGGGGCTCTCCTGAAGATTCTGGGAACTCCTGGTGAGGAGTCGGACAGCTTATCGACTGTCCCTGGACGCCCCGAGGAGAGAGAGAGAGAGAGAGAGAGAGCGAGAGAGCGAGAGAGAGAGAGAGAGCTCGCGAGAAAGCTCCACGGAGGTCTCAGGAGGCGCTGGCAGGGTCTCCCAGGGAACCCGGCGTGTTCGAATTGATGCTCGCCGTATCGTGTTGAGGATGTTTTGCCGTCTCTAAGGGCGATACCTCCTTTCGCTGCACGGCCCTCAGGGATCGCTCCCCTGTGCCTTCACGACTGGCCTAAGTTCTGATCCCAGGGTGTCCCCCGACCGTCCAAGGACAGCCGCAGTAAGTCCCACAGCCGAGCCAAACAACTGCCCAACAACGATCAAAAAACCCAATCTGCCTCCGTGAGGCAAACAGAAATCCCAATAGGTCCCGAATTAAAACGTTTTTAAACAAACGAAACGTTGAGAAACCAACGTATTGAAACACCAAGAACATCTATCAACGCGTTTGAATTCCAATATTTTCAATATGACGATGGTCCAGGACGATGGCCACACATGTGATTGCTTCAACGTGCTGTTGGCACGGGCTGTAACCACTGTGGCTAAAGCTATCCAGCCGTCACGCAGGGGCGACGCCGCAACTTACGCCCTGCCGCCCCCCCCCCCGCGGCGGCTTCGCTAGTCCGCCGTGGCATGGAGATGTGCGACGGAAGCCCCGGCCGCTTCGAGGAGCTGCTCCGCGAGCTTCGCGCCGAGCACGAACGGCTGATGCGGCGCCTGAGCGCGGAAGCGCCCCCTGGGGAGGCGCCGCTCGCGCCCACAGGTGGCGCCCCGGCCGGCTGGGGCGCTCCCGGCTGCGCGGCGGGCGACGCCCCTTTGGAGTTGCCAGGCGTGCCAGCCCCTGCGCCCCGCGATGGTAGTGTAGCCCGCGGCCCCCTGGGCAGGCCCAGCAGCCCCAGCCCCATGCTACACATCGTGCCCGGGGCCGAGACCATGAACGATTCGAGGAGTTCCGAGGCCAGCCTGGATTGTGAGCACCCAGCCAGGAAGACAAACCAGTTCTCCAGGGCAGTCTCCACGCGCATTGGACGCATGTGGAAGTCGTTGATGGACGGCCCCGAGCAGACGACGGACATTTTTGCCGTCGGAGACACGGATGAGAGGCATGGGCTCGCGAGATGGGTCACTAGCACCGGCTTCGAGTTGACCATGGCCTTCATAATTTTTATGAACACACTCTGCATTGCAGCTGAGGCCCAGTACAACGGCATGGAATCGGGCTACAACGCTGGGGTGGCGCCGCGCATGACGGAGCCTGCCGACCAGGCCTGGCCAGGAGCTGCCCGTGTGTTCTATGGGCTCGAGTGGTTCTATGGAGTCTTGTTTACTACCGAGCTCGCGCTCAAAATGGTTGCCATACCGAAGAAGACCCTGAAAGATTCATGGACTGTGATCGACGTCATCGTTGTTGTATTCTTTTGGGTCGAGGTGCTCGCGAGCGACCTCCCGTTTCCACCTACCTTGATCCGCTTGGCGCGTATGGCTCGGTTGTTGCGATTTCTTCGGGTGGTGAAGACAATCAGAGGTTTCGCGTCCCTCTACTTGATGTTGCAGTCGATCAAGGGCAGTGTGTCAGCCCTCGGGTGGTCTAGCGCCGTATTGCTACTGGGTGAAATGATGTTAGCTCTGGCGCTCAACTTGCTGTTGAAGGATTACTGGGAAGACGAGTTCTTTGATCTCGAAAAGAGGCAGACCCTCTACGAGTACTACGGCACGTTCACCAAGTCTTTGTTGACAATGGTGGAGATGTTGCTGGGCAATTGGTACAGCATCACACGAATCCTCATACACTTCAATGAGCTGTTCATGCTCTTCGGCATCTGCCACCAATTGATCCTTGGTTTCGCAGTGATCGAAGTTATCTCTGGCGTATTCCTCAACGAAACCTTCAAAGTTGCGAACCTCGACGATAGCATCATGCTTAACGAGGTCAGAAGAGCGGCGAAGGCAGAGCGAATCAAGCTTACAGAATTTTTTCAAAAAGCGGATAAGGACGGCAGCGGCTTGGTTGACCAGGACGAACTCAAGGCGGTTTTGGACAACAAGCAGGTGGGGGAATGGTTGAGCGCCATGGGTCTAGATTTGTCCGATATCGACCGGGTGTTCGCAATGTTGGACACGGATGGTGATGGGCAGCTCTCTTGCCAGGAATTAGTGGACGGCGCTTCCGTGTTGAAAAAGCCTGCAAGGGCGGTGGACCTCCAAGCGGTGCAACAAATGCTTCAGGACATACGCACCCGCCTCACGGCCAAAGAGTGGTAGTGCAGTCGGGCGTGTTTTCTTTATCAAGTTCTCCTTGCTCCATGTCGTTCTTAGCTGTGTTGCAATTCCTCTCCCCCTTCTCTCACGTCACCCTTACCTATGTTGCAGGTTCGTCCAGTGAGAAGACATAGAGTTTCCTGGCGATTTGAATTGAGTAGCCCAGCTTGTCGAGTTGCCTGCGAAGGACAAGGTTGGACGAGACGGTCAGCCCATGTTGTCTTCTCTAGGGGCGACCGTGACCCCAGAGAATCCGAACTCCTAGATGGCGTTGATGATAGTGATCATGCCGATTGTCGATTGTTTCACCAACCACAACCCTTGGTGTGCAAATCTCGTGTTCAATGCACGCTCCTTGCGCGCACGAGCCTGGGCATTGGTATTGGCGTTGCGTTCGTGATAGATGCTGGAGGCGAGGTGCCATGCAATGTAAAACAGGATCCGTGCACAGTGACGCAAAGTGGAACGTGAGGCTTTGTTCTGACGGAGATCTGCTCGTCTTGTTCGCCATCGGAGTTGTTGCACGCAGTTCCCTCGCAGTGGAATTCGCCGCAGGCTGAGAGGGGATTCTCGCGTGTTGCCTCACGGAGCGTAGCACTGGAGAAAGAGAACACGTGCCGATGGCATTCTGGTGGATCTATGAGTCTAGTGGCATTCGGCACAACCCGCCAGCGGTCTCAGGTTGTGGACAAGATGCCTGTTGGACGCTTCTTAGGCTCGCTTCCGCAGTCTCTTGGAAGCCTCTTCGGGATCTCTTGGGAGTCTCTTGGGGTCGTGGCGGCATTATGAGGTATCGCGCAGGCCTCTATGGGGCCTCTTGCGGGTCTCAAGGGGGCGTCTGGTGGGATCTGGGGTGGTCTTGGGCCTATGTTGGACGGGAGGCTTCCAGCGCTGGCTCTGGCGGTGGCGCGCGTGTGTTGGCCTCTCTGGGGGCCGTTTTGGGGGCAGTTGGGGCCTTTCTAGGCAGCGTCTTGGGCCCAGTCCAGCGGCATTGTTTGGAAGCCTCCTGGGCCGCCGAGGCGAGAACGCTAGGAACCCTATCTCCAAGAACACGTCGGCTTGGGAAAATGGCCACGAGGCGATCCCCCCAAGCGCCCCAAAGCCCCATACGAAACCCAAGGTTGTTGAACGATTTCGATATGCGTACGCGACTACGCGCGCGTGTGCACTTCGTCCTGTTGTTTGTAAGGGGGTCACGAAAACTAGTAATTGTTGATAAACGAGTGCGCGCGCATAGTTACCTAACAGCTTGTTCTGATAGGTTTCTAGTGGTGTCAAAAGAGAGCAGCAGATGACTCCACAGGGGGGTCTGGGCGGGTGCCGGACAGGGTGCCGCAGAAGTCGTTTTAAGCCAACAGTCGCACACTTCGTGCTCTTCGACCTCCCAGAACTCCATTCCCGGGCCACATTTGAATGCCCGGAGCCAACTGTAGGCCACTTCGTGCTCTTCGAGTTCCCAGAACTCCACTTTGAATGCCCGCCCGGAACTGTAGGCCACTGTCTTCGAGCTCTTCCCAGAACTCCATTCCCGGGCCACATTTTGAATGCCCGGAGCCAACTGTAGGCCACTTCGTGCTCTTCGAGTTCCCAGAACTCCATTCCCGGGCCACATTTTGAATGCCCGGAGCCAACTGTAGGCCACTTCGTGCTCTTCGAGTTCCCAGAACTCCATTCCCGGGCCACATTTTGAATGCCCGGAGCCAACTGTAGGCCACTTCGTGCTCTTCGAGTTCCCAGAACTCCATTCCCGGGCCACATTTTGAATGCCCGGAGCCAACTGTAGGCCACTTCGTGCTCTTCGATTTCCCAGAACTCCATTCCCGGGCCACATTTTGGATGCCCGGAGCCAACTGTAGGCCACTTCGTGCTCTTCAAGTTCCCAGAACTCCATTCCTGGGCATGATTTTGAATGCCCGGAGCCAACTGTAGGCCACTTCGTGTTCTTCTAGTTCCCAGAACTCCATTCCTGGGCCACATTTTGAATGCTGAGGCAGGCTGATGCTGCGGCCGAGGCAGGCTGAGGCTGAGGCAGGCTGAGGCTGAGGCCGAGGCTGAAGGCAGACTGAGGCTGAGGCTGAAGCAGACTGAGGCTGAGGCTGAGGCAGGCTGAGGCTGAGGCTGAGCAGGCTGATGCTGAGGCAGGCTGAGGCTGAGGCTGAGGCTGATGCAGGCTGAGGCTGAGGCAGGCTGAGGCTGAGGCCGAGGCTGAAGGCAGACTGAGGCTGAGGCTGAAGCAGGCTGAGGCTGAGGCTGAGGCAGGCTGAGGCTGAGGCAGGCTGAGGCTGAGGCTGAGGCAGGCTGAGGCTGAGGCTGTGACTGCGACTGCCGTTGCCGCTGCGACTGTCATCGCGAATGCGACTACGACTGCGAGAACAGCATAATTCTACAACTGGATTTTCATCTGAATCTTAAGGGGAATGCTTTCAGATATGCTTCTACACATCGCTGTTAGGTTGCTTTGCCGGGATAATATTTTTTACAGTGGGTGAGGGGGGTCGATTACGGTGCAATCTACGTTGTGCAATTTCGGCGGCGACGGGGCGGGGGGCGGCGGCAATGTAGTTGCCACACCGGCAATCATGCCCATATCGGGGGCGGCGACGAGGCGGCGACGGGGCGGCGACGGCGAGCACGGAACCGCTGGACCGACAATCAGGCCCAGACGATGGGCGGCGACGAAGCGGCGACGGGGCGGCGACGGCGAGCACGGAACCGCCAGACCAGCATTCAGGCCCAGACGACGCGCGGCGACGGGACGGCGACGGCGAATACGGAACCGCCACACGGACATTCAGGCCCAGACGACGGGCGGCGACGACGCGGCGACGGGGCGGCAACGGCGAGCACGGAGCAACCAGACCGACATTCAGGATCATTCAGGGCCATTTCCTCAGAAGAGCAGTAAGAAATCTTAAGTGCAAGCACTGTTTGGGGCATTTGTTGTGCCTCTCGGGACCCTCTTGGGCGCCTGCTTGAAGCCTCCTGGTGTTTGCGTGGGGCCTCTTGGGGCGGAAGGCTCGAGTTCTGGGTTCGTGGTTCCCTTGCTTGTGGCCATCGTGGGCCGTCTTCGAGCCCTCCTCGGCACTCTTGGAACTCTCTTGGGGGCCTCGGGAGCTGTCTCGGAACAGTCTCGGGGACCTCGTGGGTCGTCTTGGGACGTCGGAAGCTCAAAAAGGGGAGAGGCAGACCATCATGGAAACATCGACGGAACATACGTGATGTCTGCATCTAGGGGCCCTCTTGGGGACCCTTTTGGGGCATCGTTTGGCCCTCGTGGGTCCCCCTGGGAGGCTTGCGCCATTCCGACGACCCCCGGAAGACGGAATGTGTATATATATATATATATACATATATATATATGTGTACATACATGTATATATATATATATATGTACATATATATATATATATATATATATACAAGACTGCATAGGTGTGTCGCGCCATGCGCCTTGTTCCGGACGCTTCTCGGAAACGCAATATGTCATCCCGTGTTTCAGCAGGGGGGGCGTCGAGGTTTGGACGGGCGATTGGCTCATTGTTGCTGCTATCCCTGGACCTTGCTAACAGTGCGTTCCCCCGATGGGCTTTCACGCCTGTACGCAGAAGCGGAGAGGGAAGGGTGATTTTGTCACGCGCGAATGTGCTGGCACACGACGAAACGTCAAACGGTTGCGATGGCACATGTCTACGAACGGGGAGCGGGAAAAGGAACAGGGGGAGGGGGGGCTCAAGGGGCGGAGAGGAAGAAGAGGGGGGAGAAACGGGGAGAAGGTCCAGAGGAAGGAGCGGGCGAATGAGGATGGCCATCCGATGCCAAGGTCGTGGAGGTCGACAAAGACGGCAGAAAAGGGGAACGGGAGAGAGAGAGAGAGAGAGAGAGAGAGAAAGAAAGAAAAGAGAAGGGCACAGCCAGCGCGAGGAAGATGTCAAGGGCGATGGTGGCACGGGAAGGATAGGCGGGCCTGCGGGAGCGCAGCGAGCGCACCCTGGAGGGGTCCTGGACGCTTGTGGGGCTTCTGAAGTCCTTTCGAACCACCGTCCTGCGAACTACGGCATCGTGGAATGTACGTGAACTGCTGGAAGCTATATTGGAACGGTGTGGGTTCGCGTTTGAGCCCCTGGCGGCTCTTCGGACCAGAGGACTCCTTTTGGGGCTGTTTTGGGCCGTCTTGGAGGCCTCTTGAAGCTGAGGGACGTAAGGAGTGGAAGCGAGCGTGCGCCCGCGGCCGCGTCGGCTCAAGCGGCCGGCCGCCCAAATATGATTGCGCTTCATTGCGAGGCACACAATCGCTATCGAGACCAAAAGGATCTTCCTATTGCTTAAGCAGGCACATCCTTTCCTACTGGGACTATCGCCACTACGGCACAACAGAGCTGGAGCGTGGCTTCGCCTAACGCGAAGCTGCTGGCTGGGCCTCCCAGCCCCATTCAAATATTGGTAGCGGAGCTGGCCTGTGGTGGTCAGCTCTTGCTCTACTCCCCACCATCCACGGCACTATCTGGTGGACTACGGACATGGTGGAACATCAGGGTGCAGTGGGTTTGCGCGGAGGAAGGTATATAGCCACGCAATACCGCAAGGACACTTGCAGCGCTACCTCTGCTCAAGCGGAGGTCTCTTACTTATATCCTGCATCCCTGCGCTTCTACACTCCGGAAGTCCACCCACCGATTCCAATTGGAAATTTCTTCGAAAATACAACGCATGGACACATGCGATATGAAATGCTGCCGCCTCCAACCCCACGCAGACCCACGACTACTCAACGGAAGTCCCAACCGACAACATCCGACTACGACTTACGAGGCTATTGGATTGGCGTTACTATATTTGTGCTCACATGGGTCGCTATCGGGCGCGCGGTAGGACATATGCGCGGCGGAGACGGCACAGGAACGACCAGCCCTCATTGGGATCCAGCCAGTCAAGTACCTCTTCGCGAATGTGTTCGCGGATTACATACCTGGACCAACGTGACCACAGGCAATATGACGCCCTCCCGGCAGGCTGCAGCTCTGCAGCGAGGTTTGGGACTTCTCGCGCGGGCCATAGCCATGAGAGTTCCTCCAGCAGTTATTAACTTTGGCGTCAACATAGGTGGCCGCCATACTGACGGCGCCACCTACATCGTGTTCCTCTTAAGCACGAAGTTCGAGAACTTAGAGGAGGAGCGCCAACTCAACTCTGGTACGGCTCTCATTGATGTCCGAGTCCATGCGGGAGAACGTATTGACCAGACGCTAGCACGGTTTGAGATAGCCCGCAATGAAGCTGAAACAGCCGGCTTCAACATCCCCAACTTCCACATCCTAGCAGTGAATATATTCAGAGCTCTTAGAGTAGGGACATCGCGCGCACAACAAATCCTGCAGCCTCTAAACCACCACCTGCCGAGAGACCAACAACCGTTTGACGCTCTACTTGAACGCGTGAGATCATATGCTCACATTGCTGAGAGAAGCCGCGGCAATTTTGGCAGCATCTTCAGTTACGGCCATCGAACCGAGACCTTCCACGTGGAGGCGAACGCAGGGCAGCCTGCCAACAACGTCTGGAATGATGATCCACAACCAACTGAGGCCGCTACACTGTTGGCTCAAAATGGTGG